ATTGTAAAAAATCAACAGCAAATTTAACCACGTTTTTAATCAATTAAATAGGAGACTGTGAATTTCCAAAAAGGGAAGTTAAAATTTCTCAACCATTTATTTAATTATTACAATTAATGAGAATTTCTTTAACTAAAAGAATATAATGTAAAATTAATATTTTACAGACAGTTTATTAATGTGGAATGCACTCTCATTTTTCAATAATGAATAACGGTTTTAATGAATATTTGTATGAAATTTCTAAAAAAAAATGTTCTAAAACTTATAAAATAAATTCTTTATATCTTGTGAAAATATTTTTAACTGATTTAAAAATTAATGATACAACTACAAGAAGTGTAACACTTGCTGGAACTATCGAGAATGATGAAAAATGTTTTGGAGAATATTATCCTGATATTTACGGAAATTGGGCTAATGTAGTAGTTCAAGGAATAATCAAAGTATTTTACAAAAATATTTTACAGAAATTGAATCAGAATAAAAATGATGATGATTCTGATAAAAAATCACTATCAGAAGGGGAAAACATATCTTGGATAATATTAAAGAAACTCGGAATCTTTTCGCAGAACTTGTATTCTCTTTTAAATAAAAATTCTGCAATGTAGAGTGGCCAATAAATTTCATGCTTATTGTATTTTTAAGTAGCTTCACGTAAATCTCTCCACAGTCGCTCGATTTTTTATAACGAACTAAAAAAGATAAAGAAAATGACAACTGAATTTATTATAAATAATTAAAAACGGAATCTATGAAATTAATTAAATTCTCTCAACGTGATTTTTTTCTTCCACTAAAAAAAAGGTACTAACTATATTACATAGATAGTAATTGACTCTATTTGTTTATAACGACTGAATTTGTTATAAATAATTTTTCTAATGTTCTCTATTGCTGGAAGATTTCCGAATATAATTCTTAAAAATTGGACGATGACAGTTCCAGTAGGATACTTCAAACACTTAAAGAAAAATTCTGAATAAGATTTAGTAATAAAGTAATAATAAACGACCCAAGGGATATTGTTTGGCAGACCATCTATTATACAGGTCGTGAGCCAATCATACAAAGTCTCCACCTGCACCCTGTAGTTATCAGCGATAACAATGATGCGGATATTCATGGTCGAAGAAGACTTGACATGGGGTCCTAAAAAGGTTGATATCGTATTCGATAAACATACCGTGAATACGCATTACCTGGAGTGCGTTGTATGAAACACACATTTATACAGCGATGAAGGCGTCATTGTCAAAAAATTTGATCTCCGTCGCTACAGAGACATAAATAAATGAGGTAAAAACATTATGATATGCTCGTCCTTTTGTGTTGATTTTCATAAAAATTTTTGTTTCAGAAACATCAGCCGTGTCTATCAACAGCCGCCAGAATTTATATGATTTACCTGTCATAACTACAGAAAATTATTTATATACATAAATATTTTCTCATCATTTAAATAAATTTTTGCTATTTTATGAACATCTAATTACTCCATACTTAAATTTGTGAAAATAAGCCATATTATTAATTTCCCAGTGGGAAGTTATAGTAATGGGTCCGATTTTGTGAATCCCGAATTTTGACATATCGTATGTACATACGTATGTGCGTTCGGAATTATTTTTCGCCTCGATTATCTCGAGAACAAAGAATGATATGGACGTGGGACCAATTGCATTCATTGTTTGGAGTGGTGATGCAATTTGTTATGCTTGTGTTTTTTACATTTATTGAAAAAAAATACGGACTGCGTCTTACCGTTCTTGAATTATTATGGTAAGTGCGTTATAATTATTTCAATTTTCAGTAAAAATATAGTATGTTTGACTTTTAAAGTTATTTTATCATAGAAATACCATGTAAATATCATCTGCTGGCTGCTGATTCTGATGACGATGGTGAAGGAAATAAAACACATGATAGCGCCGACAAACCTAAGCCTGCAGACGAAGAAAATATTGCTAGCAACATGGGCAAGATCGAGAATCTAGGACCATCCACATCAACCAGCATCGTTGAGTTACCGAAACTGGCTGATGTTAACATCCATGAAACTAATAGCCTTAGACCACAACCATCTACATCCGTAGCTGTGATTAATAACGACAATGACCAGCAACTATCATCATCGACAACTGGTATCAATTATGGAAATGTTACGTACAACTGTTTCAAACCAGAGAATATACCTTTAAATCTTGAAAAAGGTCGCTGGTTCAATGTCAATTACGGTGGTAATGTTATTACAAAGTATCACGGCCCTTAGCAGTCTGCTTGTAATAGTAGTTCAACAGTGTCTTGCCCGTATTCATAGTGCAGCTGTAATGTGAGTATCCCCTGTAGACGTGATACTGAAGAAGAAACAGATGATGATATTCCTTCGGATGGTTTATACAAGGAGTATGAGTCATCATTGAGTAGTTCAATAGAATATTCCTTTGAAGTGACCGATGATACTGATCAGCAAACCTCATCCCTAACAAAAAGTACTTCATCAACACCTGTTGGTAATTATTTTTATTCTTATGTTTATGAGTTTAATTATTAATGAAACTTCTAATTATAACTTCATGTAGGCTATGATTTCTCTTGAAGGCCGCTAGAAGAATAATGCTGACAACTATCAAATTATAGATATTCAAACAGGCGGTGCTGTAACCGAAGCGGCAACGAAGAAAATTCAGAGTTCAGCGAACAAACACGATGCGTTACCGACGACATCATCAGAAACCTTTACAACTGTTTATCCCCTGGACCACGGTTTTATTATTAACAAGGAGTGGGTAGAAAATTTTTAAAAGTTTTAAATTACTGGTAAAGAATGTGTCATAAAAATAACACCCCCGCCTAGTGATCGAAACCATGTAGAGTGGTTTGAAGGCGCGCTAACCGACATTACAACATATATTACACAGTCTCGCACATCTCGTGACAAAGTAGCTTTTACTATTAATTGTAAACGATTAACAAGTGGCCCTATATGGTCTCGTTTTAGACCACCACAACAATATACAAGTAACACTCTGTGGGACTTACTGTGTCAGATAGCGCAGAGTGCTGGTGGTTTGATTAGAGCTGTTAATGTTGTGTTGGCGGGTTTAACTATACGCGGTGTAGAGGAGCGTGGTAATCAGAAACTAACTTACGAGGCTATTTTCAAACGATCAATTGTACGCATTACTAATAACGATGATTTATAATTTCCCGTTCCTTTGTTGTTGCTGATTTACATGCTGAACGTGGTAAAACCCGTACAGGTACATTACAAAAACGCTGGAAGACAATGTGTGATCGCCGCTGTAATTTACAACGCCGCGCTGCTTTAGAGTTAGTAAGTAGAGCCGGTGTTAAAATACTTCGTAGTGGTGGTGGTTTTGATGAAATAAATGCTTTCCAACTATATTTCATGCGTAAGGGTATAGCTATTTTTGTGTATGAATTTTATACCCCAGGAAAATGAAAACGGCCATTATTCGATGAGTGCCCTGTCGTTAAAGAAAATTATAGTAAAATTATAAGAACATTGTTTATTTTATATTACCAACAAGGACATCATTATGACCCAATGTTGAATCTCAGTGCTGCTGTTGGTTTGCGTTCTTTTTATTGGGCTTGTAATAGAAGTTATTTTACGATGTCAGCCCTGCATCGCTGTCTTTTTAAATGCCCTCGATGATGTAGTTTACCTGTCTGTGTGTCCGAGGTATCAAAAATGTGTAATAAGTATAACAGATATTTTTTAAGTGATAGCTGCTATGACTAACATTTGATAAAAGGCTCAGCGTCACTGTCTGGTGATGATAAAGATCTAGCTGTTTGCGACCTGATACAAATTTGTGAAAAATGTTTTCATCTGAAAATATATAGCACTAATAAAAGGAAACAACATGTTTGTAATAAAACTTTTTGTAGTATTTGTAATCTTAGTAGGCCCATAAACCACCAATGCTATATGATTGATCTCGAAACAGCAGCACCTTCAAAAGCTATATTTTTATTATATGATTTTGAAACGCAGCAACGTCAGCATGTTAAAGATAATAAGACGACAAAATTACATCTCCGTAATCTTTGCATTGTTCAAAAGGTGTGTGTATATTGTGCAAAAAACAATAATTTATCAGGGCATTGTACTTTGTGTAAAAAAACGTGAATACACTACCCGTCAAAAGTCAGTTGAAATTCAAATTTTTTTACTTAAATATAGGAAACGCACAAAATTTTTTTTTTGGATAATTACTAAATGTAAACAACAATATTCCCTTCTTAATAAACTTTAATTTTCTTACATTTTGTGTTTCTTTTCAATTACTTCTGCAGTCAAAAATCCGAAATGACAAAAATGTTCGATTTCAAAAGTTAGTTGAAATTATTACTAACTAGTTTTTTTTTTTTAACAACAATTTAACAATTAATATTTCGTGTGTCTTCTTTTATTTTGTAGTACAGTTGCAAGTCGTTGAGGCATCGATTCGACTAATTTGTGAAAAACGTTCGGTGGTCGTTGCGATTGAATAGTTGTTCTTGAATAGTTTTTTTAAACGTGCTGATATCACCACGTGACGATTTAGGGATTTTCTGATCCAGTTCGTCCCATAAATGTTCGATCGGGTTTAAATCAGGTGCCATCGAGGGCCAATCAAGGATATTTATGTGATTTTCTTTGTTTTCAAACCTGTATGTTTGGGGTCGTTGTCGTGTTGGGAAATAAAATACTTATCTCAACCCATGGCTTTAGCTGATTGAGATAAATTTATTTTCAGTATATTACAATACATATCTGCTGTCATTTTGCCATTTATTTCGCACAGTTGTCCTACTCCATACCAAGAAAAACACCCCTACACCATTACATTGCCTCTACCATATTTGACAGTAGGTTGCAAATAATTGTCTTTAAACGGATTATCGCCCACGCGTCGCCAAATCATTTTTTTTCGTCAGTTTCCAAATATTTCGAACTTAGATTCGTCACTACATATAACACGCTTCTAAAACTCTACTTTTTTATCAATGCATTTTAGAGCAAACTGTAGTCTCTTTTTTTTATGGATGTTTCGTAGTAATGGTTTCTTCTTTGCTACTATGCTTTTGAAGCCTGCTTGGTGAATACGTCTTCGTATTGTACTCTCAGAAACTTCAGTACCCTCATTCCTAAGTTGTTCTCGAATTTCTTCAATTGTTATTTCAGGATTCTTCTGGCAAAGTCCTACAATGAACCGATCATCCAATCTAGATGTTACTTTTGGGCGACCTGAGCGAGGTAAATCCGAGAGTGTTGTTTCAGTTTCACTTTTTTTAATTATTTTTCGAACATCCTCAGGACTAATTTTATATATTCGTGCTACAGCACTATAATTTTTTAAGTTTTTATAGTCACAAACAAGTTTTGTTCGTTCTGCCACACTTAATTTACGCCTGGTAACCATTTTCAGTAATAAATATATTGATATTGATTTATTTCAATGAATTAAGAATAAATATAAGTTAAACTAAAGTAATACCACTAAGGATTTTAGATTCAATAAGTTAATCGACGTCTGTATGGTTCAAATATTATTCTCCAACTAACTTTTGACAACGTGTTTGGACGAGTTCATTCGGGCTTCGACTTTCATAAACAAAAGCGATGCGAAAGAATCGTAGTTGGACCATGGCTATTGTAGAGCATTAAAACGAGACATGATAGCTATGTAGAATAACCGTTAAAAATTAAAGTAATCGACATAATATACATTTAAATCATACAAAGATGGATTTCAACTGACTTTTGACGGGCATTGTATATATTTCACGACAACTCGATAACCTTATAGATTTAGCCTTCAAGTCTTATAAATATTTTAAGAAAATAATATGCATTGCTCATAACGCGCGCAGCTTCGACGCGGAATTTATTCTTCGTTATCTAATAGAAAAAAAAATGCGTATTCCGAATCTTATTCTAAATGGTAGTAAAATTATTGTAATGACAATAGAGGACATAACTTTTTTAGATAGTTGAAATTATTTACAAATCCCTTTGAGAGCTCTACCTAAAGCATTCGGTTTTGACAATGAGGTTACCAAAGGTTTTTTCAACATTCCTGAAAACATCGGCTGTGACGACCCACTTTCGGACATGGAATATTATTCCTCTGCTACAATGCATACTAAAAAACGATCTTAATTTATAGCGTGGTATGAAGAAAAGAAACAAGCAAATTACATTTTCAATTTTCAGAGCGAGTTCGTCAATTACTTTTAGAGATATAATACTCGCATGTGGCGACACATGTCCTTCTATCGAGTGTTAAACAATAGCATCAATAAGTTCAAAACTTTTCGGGACAAAATTTTTGAGTCCTAATACATTAGATATTTTACCACCACGTGGTGCTATCGGTCATCTAATCAGTCTTTGATAGCTATTTCATATTATAGATCATGCGGCCCGGCGTAAAGAAGTCCAGTTACCCTGTGGTACACTAGTCTACGGCTATTTTCATAACCCAGAAACTCAATAAAAAATCGTATTTCAATTTCATCGTTGTTATTGGCATGGTTGTCGGATATATTTTCGTGTAAACAGAGATAAAAAACTGCGCTTTGGTGAAACCCTCGATCAACGTTTAGGGCGAACACACGCTACTTCAAATAGAATACGTTCAATGGGTTATACGCTCATAGAAGAGTGGGAATGTCATTATTGACAGTTTTTGAAAAATAACTCTAGTTTAGAAATATCAATTATATTCATCTTTTACTGAAAAACGAGCCACTTAATCCACGCAATGCTTTTTTGGCGGCTGCACAGAAAATTTTGTGTCATTAAGCGATGTAACAAGGTCAGAAAAAATAAAATATGTGTGTTCTCTCTATCCTTACGTGTGCAAGACAGGAAAATTTCCTGTAGGCCATCCGACGATTTACGTTGGTGTTAAGTGTGATGAAATTTTCAAAAATAAAAATAATTTTGATAACAATGAACGTTTCGTGAAATGCTCCGTTTTGCCACCCCATAACCTCCTGTATCCTGTTTTACCATCGAGATTCTACGGTAAACTTATGTTTGTATTGCGTTTTAAACGTATTAGAAATATGGCAATATAAAATGATTCAGTATAATCGTAAAACGGGTATTCGCGGTCTTTTTATTAATGATATAAATACTTTTTCGAAAATTGAATAAGCCACTAGCCTCTTGCTAGTGGCTAGCCAAAACATTGCAAAAATAATGACATTGAACTAGAATTGTCTAATAAAATTAGAGGTTGATAAAATAGCATAGTACCCTGGTTAACGATCTGTAGCAAAATTATTTTTAAATTCCTCATGGAGCAAGTTTGGTCAGCGTGAAAATCTTACAAAAACTGAAATTGTTACTGAGCGTGTTATACTCATGGAGTTACTCACAAATCCTGAGATTAATATTACAGGTTTTTAGTGTGTTAATAATTCTTTTTCGTATGTATCATATGTACAAAAAGAAGAAGCTCTCGAATCACATTCTACAACAAATGTTGTCATAGCAGCTTTCACTACTGCCTAGGCTCGTTGAAAATTCTATTCTTATCTAGAAAAATCAGGTAACAGAGCGCTGTATTGTGACACTAACTCTGTTATTCATTTATCAAATGAAAACACAGTAGATCTTGAAACTCGTAATTACCTTGGTGATTTAATCGATGAACTAGAAGATTATAGTACTGATAGTTATATAAAATCTTTTATTTCGGGTAGTCCAAAATTTTATTCTTATCCTGTACAGAAACCTGACAGTTCAGTTGTGAAGGTATGTAAAGTAAAAAGCGTTTCGTTAAATTATAGTAAAAGTAATTACATTAACTATAACACAATACGTTCTTTAATTACCGGTAAACGCCTTGACCCGATAGTCATTTCATGTGATGCTATCCGGCGAATACCATTCAACCAAGTCATTACTCGTCGTGGAACGGAACAACGAAAATACAAAATAAAAAAAGACGCCTCGTCGATAATTTTCCAATTCTTCCTTCTGGCTATCGAGCAAATAATTGCGATTAAGATTACTGCTTCAAATGAACTTGTTTCAACTAAATATGTTCGCCGTTGAATGACATAGTCATTGATTTCCAGAATCATTGAATTTGGACAAAAGAAAATTCTGACCTTTCAAATTTGCATCGTTTAAGGTTACTTGTGACTTCATATAATCATCATTAAAAAAAATTATGTTTCCATTTGTGACCAATTTTTGCTTGAATACAAAATAGGTATATAATGTTAAAGAAAATGCGACGTGAGTATTTTGTCTCATAATCAATATTGTACCGTAATAAAATTGATACGACGAGACGTTCGTGGTTTCACCATGAATAATTATTGATAATTATATTCTTAACGTACGGGTAATTATTCATTTATATAATTCATATGTGATCAGAGTCGAATGACCACATTTCTACAAAAACTCTCTATTTCAATAGTTATAGATAACTTTGTGAGTTACATAATTATATGATTATAAGATAATAACGTTATAAGTCCCCTCCATGATCAGTTCGTACGACTGTATGCAATTGATTATCTTCTACAGTTTTATGATCAATGTTCTCTGATAAATTCTTTTGTTGAATTATGAGTGATTAAAATTATATTTGATATACGTGCAGTACTCACTGACAGCGCTGATTAGACAATGATGAATAGCGAGAATATTTCTAGTTTTCATGCCATAGTCAGTCATCTATTATTCATATTAAATCAATCTAAATTTTATCGTCAAGGAAATAATTCAAAAAAAATTAACACAAAAAATGTTGTTATTATGACTTTATTTTTTACGACATCGTTGTTGTTAATTATTTCCGAATTCATTAGTATGAAACACAGTACGAATCTCTCAAACTTAGCTGCACACATCAATCCGTTACTCTTTCATACATCAGGCTTATTTAAATATACTGAATTTATAATAAATGCTAAGGAATATGAAAATCTTATTAGTCGGATGCAAAATTATCATCAAATATGTCAGAAAAATAGCAAAAATAATGAAGGTAATAACTCCAACTATGTGTTAAATGATGTTGCCAATTATCATTTCTATATGGTTTATTGATTTATCGTTCATAAAAGCACTAGAATTTTTTCCAAGTTTAATACTTCTGAACATCTTACAAGTTATTTGTTACTTAACTTAACTTTCGAAAAAAAATGAAAAATTGGAGTGAGACTAGTCACAGTGCTTACACATAGGACTTTCCATAAGTCAATTTCAATTAATAAAGAGGAAAAAATGGCAAAAAAATACTTATACATTTTGTTTGAAAATAGAAGTAATGTATTTGTAGAAAATAAAATATTTGTAGGATTAAAAATTTCCTGCAAAAAACTACTTATATATTTTGTTGTAGAAGCAAAGGTATTCCAGAGATATTGAATAAATCACTTACGAAACGATTTGTTTAAAATATTTAGAGAACCGTAGTTTTATTGTAAAAAATGTAAGAGAGTAAAATATTAGGGATGAAAAATAGTACAAAAGGAACCTTTACATGTTTGTCGTAGGGCTAACCGTTCTGTGGATTCTACAACCATCTCCTCATTGGGACATTCACGCTTAAATATCTTGTGAACGGTTGGATTTTCCAAAAAGAAGATAGAACGTAAAATATTCACTAACTAATTAGCTACAAAAAATTACTTTGATTTTTTATCGTAGGACTGACCGTTATCGATTTAAAACCTGTGCAAGTTTGGTATTCCAATTTTGATTTTTACAAACAGAAAAAAAAAATTAAAAGACAATATTTAAACTCCTCTTAGCTCTTCTTCTCGAAATTGGCTTAAAGTTGATATATTAGTTACTTGTTAACAAACCGTGAACGAAAAATATCCAAACGCCTACGTTCATACGTATGTATGAACAACGTTGACCTTGAAATTATTGACGTTTTTCTGAGCATAGTAATACACATATTATAAAATATAAGTGTGTCCATGTATGGATGGATTGACAAGCGACAGAATTTGTTGCTGGCAACGCGCGACTGGTTTGTTTCTTTTAGTTTATGACTATGACCGGCTGACTTTAGACGTCATATCTTTGATTCTGTTTTCAAATCTGTCATTTCAATAAACTTTGCCATTAAATATTAGTTGTCCTTATCGCATATTTTACAATTAGTGTCAGAAGTGATTGGTCCCATAGAACGAAGTAGATTGTTTAATATATTAGTGTGATTTTTTGGGTTTTGAGAAATGCCAAAAACACCAAGTCGATGTCAAACAAGGAGGGAAACCAAAAGAACTCGTTCCAATGATTGCATCGAAGAAGGGCATTTTTCAAATGGTAGATAGTTAGCTCTGGAGATACGGATTAACAGACTAGAAGAACTGTTATCTCAGAATGAATTGGAAATAAATAGGATGTTCCGAAATTCCGTGTTGTATAATCTTTATA